AGCAGGCTGTAATGACGTCTTCAGTAGCAGCACAATAGTGTTATTTTACAATTCATTGTGCATAGCAAAAAATCAACACACGTAGTAGCAAAATTTCAAAAGAAATCGCATGTACTACAAGTTCTATCTACTTCAAACAATAACGTTTGCTTAATAAGTGTGTTATCGATCCCCATTTACAATGTATATTTTATCAAATCCTTATCAACTAATTTAGTGTTGAATTCCCGAGTACTTAGAATCTTTCTCTTAAATTAATTAGCCAATAAATAACTAAGCTTTCACTAAATTGTGCCTTAAAAGGTAACTGTTTATAAAATTTAGTCTCGTTTGCCTGCTAATATTAAAAAACACTGTCTTTATCACAAGCATTAAAATAATTTTCATGAAGAATCATTTCGATTCTCGCTATAAAATCCGGAGGTGTGTTATCGTTAAATTTGTCGAATGAGTAAAACAGCAACAAACATGTCTATTCACCCCGTTTTCAATGTATTACGGGTAAATATTAAGTGAGATTTACTTCTACAACTGTTCTGAATCTAATTATTTTCTTATTTTAGTACATAAATGTGAGAGACCTAATACAACTACACATTTCTAATAAATGTCCTGATTCTATCGGTTGACTAAAATTTCTATGATAACAGAATACTTTGATATCTGTATAAACTCTACCAAAGGTAGTTAAATTAAAAACAACAGAATTCATGATAAAACAAATGAATATTTCCCACTTTTCACGCGTTTACTTAATAGCATAGTGATGGTGTAGATCCAGAAATTATTTATACTATTATTAATTCACAGTAGAAAATTTAAAAATATAGAGCTTATGTTAATATGTCACACTTCATTAAAATTTCAATATACTTCGTATGTTAAATATGCAACGCTGAATACTGACTAAAAGTCTCAACATTTGCTGTCTGCACGTGTTATCTTCAATTAAAGAATGAATCTAGTGCCCGTTCGTAGGTAGCAAATGTAAACCGGCGGAAAATGATAGTTCTTTTGTTTTGTCTAGGACTCCTTTACATAGTTCACATACAGTCGCTTTATGGACTGTATCCATAAATTCTAGCCACCTTGGCTGACTCTCTACAAAGGGTTAGAATATAACTATTCGCTTGAGTCAGTTCGCGATGCCTTATGACAATAATCTACCTTATAGATAATATCTTGTACGGTTTCAACTACTTTGGACTCCAATAAAAACGACTCCACGTCGGAATACCAGAGCTACAATAAAAACGTTAGTTACTAGCTGACAATCAATCGTTGTTTATGTGATTAGATGTTGATATGGAGTGAATTCATGCTTTGGTTTTGCTACAGACTGATTTAAGATGGTAAAACCTATAGCACTAACGTCATGTAAAAGCGAAAACTTTTCCAACATTCATCTTTTCGCAAATAAAGAATACAGTTCCTCTTGGCTTTTAAGTGATTCCGGAGACACTTTACAAAGGCTTATTGTTCTTCAAGCTAATCACTGTCTATAGTTTGTGAGTTACAACGGTCAGGTTGGCTTATAGAGATGTCTCAACTATGTGTAATGAATAATGCTGATCGATGGTTAAAGACTTAATAATTTAATATAACCATCAGATCAAGTATTAATTTCTTTTCAAACTTTCTGCTTATCTTAGCAATCTTATGACTAAACAAGATGGATTAGTATGACTTAAAATTTGCCATTAAAGTAGATATATATTCTATAAGATCGGTGACTAAGAAATCTATGCAAACAACAAGACGTATTAACAGGACACTCTAACATTTGCATATTTTAAAATAATGAGTTCATACCAAGTTTGATCTGTAAATAACATGTTTTTGGATAGGTATACACACCTCAGTATTATGATAATAAAGGCAGGAAAAGCTAAGACAGTATATTCTTTCTCAGTTTATTGACGGATCGTACGAGCATTTTGTCGTCTTTGAGGACATTGAACTTGCATGCGTACATGTAAACAGCTGTATATTTGTATTATTAAAATCCTTCATCACCTGTGGGAACGAAAGTTATGTTTAGTTTTTCTTTTATTACTGTTATATTAGGCCAAAATGGGTTGTGTAACTCCAGTTAATATGGTTGTAACTATACAACTACTAATAATTCACAAATTGTGGTTGACAACTACTGAATTTAATAGAATGATATTTTAATCTATTCCTGGTTATCTGTAATCGATTATCTGTTACAGCACATCGTAATGCAGAAAATACCATTATTTAAACAATTCTTCAAGTGCTTGTTAGAAAAATATATTACATCATAGAAATTGTTCCAAACATTTAAGATGTAAGTAGCCACTACAACTTGTTTACTGTATACCCATGATGGATCATGGGTTCAAACGATTACTTGTATTCACGGAAGAAATTGAATTTCTCAACCTCACATCTAGTAAATGCACTTTGAGGTTGTTTAAGATACTTTAAGTAACCATTATACTGGAATTTCGTGTCAGGTGTTAGAAATTGATGAAAATTGTCAATAAATATATACCATCAAATTCGTGGCTCATAAATGTACGGTTGTGTACATAGTTATCTTTGTAATATGTGGTGATCTATTCACGATTTCCTTGAACTGTTGAAAATAGTGATGTTTAATTGAACTAATAAAGGAATGAATGAGCTGTTAATTCACGAGTTGATTCATTCCATCCCAAAACAATTGAATATATATTGTATTCAGCAAAATATTTCGCTTATGTGTATATACTTCTTTATGACTAATTCTCTCATTATTTCATTGGCATCACGTGCTTGAACGCACTAGATTTATCTGTATATTGCTTTTATAATATTTGCCTAAGTAAGCTGGTACATATTACAATATCAAAAGGGATATTATGATATGCAATATGTTTGATTATTTCCAAACGTTGAATTGGTAAAGTAACTGTCATCTCACTGATAACAGAAAGATTTCCAGGATTTCACAGCGCATGTATATTTATGATAATAATAATAATTTAGAGAAAAAACATAGTTACTCAAAAGACAGCTGGATTTTTAAGTTACAGTTTTGATTATTTCTACAGAAAATTATCATTTTAGTTCTCATTGCTAATTCCCACCATTTTCCTTAACATAACTAAGTATGTCATTCTTTGCTACTGCATCCTATTTGTTTTATGACTGAAATATTTAATTATGTCTATCAGTTGACATTTAACGCTAGGTACAATTTTTAACGATATACTATGTCATTATCTGCTTCATGTTCTATTCAGAAAGATTTAGAAGGAGAAAAAAGTGCCGACGAACCGGGATGAAGGTCACTTCATCAAGATGCCAAAGAAGATCCGAACAAATGTAAGACCTACAGAGGTATCACACTATTACCAGTACCGGCAAAGGTTTTCAACCGAATTTTGCTAAATTGAATGAAAGATTCAGTGGACGTCCAGCTTCGAGATCAACAGAATGGATTCCGTAAGGATAGGTCGTGCACAGACCAAATCGAGACACTAGATCATCGTTAAACAATCAACTGAATGGAACTCATCGTTATAGATCAGAAGGATGAATAGAAACTAAAAACAACTGGAAAGGGTCACGCAGAATAGAGTACGATAGGTAATCCTGGTCAACGGTCTATGGTCCTTTACGAGGAGGGTGACGTGCATAAGTAAGTACTATGTCATAATTTACTATTAAATTAATTTACTGACTTTTGGTTTTTAACTTTTATGTTACTACTTTCATGAACTATTAAAATTATATTTCCAGAGTTGTTTGCACTAGGAAAACTACTCTTTGTAAAAATTACCTTCACAAAAAAATTAATTTATGATTACAATAATTGCACTATTCTACTGAATAATTCTCTGAAATATTACCTTTCAACTCAGTAAAGTTTAGATATTGATATAAAATTTTAAAACAATTGTGTTATGTTTCGATAATGATATTAGAAAACGAAGATTATCAGAACTATGCGATATATAAGCGCAATACATTTCGAACAATCTGGTCACACATATACTTGTTAAGAGCATTTGTATATAAAAATAAAAGGTCAACTAGACAGGAAACGGGGTAAGAGGAGATAAGGATAATGATAAGAGTAATAATAATAATAATGTGAACACAAAGCGAAACTAATCACTCTGGATAATAAGTCAATATTACCAGGGTAGGTTTAAGGTAAGAACAAACTGTTTTTGAACACATAAAGGGGGTTTGAATTTTCGTATGGCTAAGGCTTCAATAAACCTTAGTATACGCCCTTTTACACTTTTATACAGCACTACAAAAGCTGAATTTAGATCAATCTTGTGACCTGTTTCAACTATATGTTTAGCAATAGAGGATGATGGATGTTTATCCTCTGCTCTTATTGGGTCACATGATTGTATTTGTTTCTGAAGCCATTTGGGTACATGTTCACTCACCCTAATGTTTAGATCACGATTACTCCTCCTTATGTATGTATCTTCGTCTTCTAATATCATTATCGAAATTTATCAAAGGGACTAATTGTTTTAAATTGTGTTATGCCTCGATAAGCATAACGAATGGTAACTTTTGAAATCAATTATGGACCAATACTATGCGTATATTGTTAAATAACTAAACTGTTCATATTGGTGTCCCTCTTATAATAAGCTTATTTTGATCTATGAACTACTATTATACAATTTACCATTCTTGAATTATGCCCTGTCTATTAATCACTACCTTCCACATTCAGAGCCACTTTTGGCCAAATCTTGTTCAAATGTTGTTTTCTATATATGGTACATTGTGGTCTGTTTGATTGATATATAAACTTAGTGTGTTTGAAATATAATGATTCATATCACAGAGGCTCAGATTGGTGTTCTGGAATCAACTGACTGGGTTAGTCAGGAATCAGGATCGATAAGTATTCTAGACTGTTTGTACGGGTTTTACGCGTCATTGATCATTGCTCTCTCATTGGCGGTATCATTACTTTATACATTAACAGAGCACACAGGCCACAAATTAAAACAAATTGATATTAAATATTTTTCTATATTTAAAACAAAATACAAATAAATGATTAAATTAAAATCTTATTTTACATATAACTAAAAAATATTAAATATTCTTAAAAAATAATTTGTCTACACTCATATATAGTTTATCCATAATTTTATGATACTACTGTATTATTTGTTTCAAATCTGAAAATTTTAAAAAAAAATGACGATTCAAATAAACAACAAACTTAAAAATTACAAAACAGAGTTTCTAAATGAAAAAACAAAAAAAGAATGATCAATCATTAAACAAGAAATAAAAAAAAACTTTTTACGGGAAATTTGATTGTAAAGTGTGATCGATAAACGAACTCGTCAATGATAAAGTGAAACGCCAACCAACTTTCTTTGACCTTGTATGACTATGTCTTGTTTATTTATCAATCACAATTTTATGTTCATGATAAAATCATATTTGCTATGTTGACTCATTTTCCCTATCCTCTAGTTACTGTTCAGTATGTTATTTATGTCTCTGTTTTTCTCTGTGTTAATAGACTGTACTGTTTGTTTTGTACACTAATGGTGTCAATTTATATTTTTAAGAAACAGATAAAGTTTATCAAGCCAAATAGTTTACTTGTTCTGACTTTGGCTAAAGCAAGACTCTGTGTTCGACAGTCTAGAGAATAGCTTAGAGTTACACCTGTAGGAAATTGCTTCCTACATTGGAATTAAAAACTGATTGTCACTATGTAAATGTTAGTTTTTTTTATTTATTTAATGAACATTATTTGTCGAGAATTTTATGAGTAATTTCTTAAATACTATTTAAAAATTCGTTGTTTTTTTTAATGGTTTAACATGATTTTAATGACCAATCATACTATTCCACAAAACATGATCTTGAATAACTTAAATGATTGAATTCATGAATCAATTTAAGCTAAACCTTCATAGAAAACCTGTATGCACTAGACGATCATTTCATCCTAGTATGAGACTCTTCATTAGTGAACATTTAAGATCCCGTTTAAATCGATTCATAAACATTCAACCATTAAATTACTAAAATCTCCACAAACGCCCTATTCTGATATTAAAAAAATTTATCTAGGCGTTACAAGTAAATCAACTTCAATGAAATTTATTTTTCTCGTTGAAATCATGAGTCAATTGAAGCTAGACCACCACGGAAAACCTGGAAGCACTGGACGGCCGTTTCATCCTAGTATTTCTGTTATCATTAACTAAAATTTCGATAGAGTATAATCTCACAATTTCAGTGTATTTTCAGTGTAAAATGAAAGTGTTTCTCAATTTACAGTTATATTTTGTATCAGTTAATAAGTATTATTATTATTATTAATATTACTAAATATATATTACTTACCACTGTTATTTCCAGTGTATTTGTCAAAGTGATGAAATGAATGTCATGTTTTATTCTAATCCATATATCTGTTAAATGTATCCTCTCTAGAAGAAAACAATAAATTGAAATTAGATTATTTAACCATTGGAAATTTGTAACTTTTTAATTCAAACTAAATAAGATTTATTGGTGAGACTATAATTTATGGACGACCTTTGAGCAACGCTAGGCTAACCTTGAGAGTGTCCACCTAAATACTAGGGCTAACTGAGGGTTATAAAGCAGTTTGAAGAATAAGGATTATAATTTACAGTTGATGGTTTAGGTTAGGAATTAGATTTAGGGTTTTCATCACGAACTGACACCAGTTATAATGTCATAATTCTATTTAGCCAAATGGGTGAATGAATTTCGCGCCAAAATCTAAGACTTGTTGACGTAAATCTGATTGGTTCGTCCATAAATTATCATCATTATTAATGACACTATTCAATAAATCATAAATTTATTAGTGTAACATATAATAAATCATCTATTATTAAATAATCTTTATCGATTTGGAACAAGCTAGTTGACATGGTAAATACTAAAGACGGAATAAATAAATAAAATAAAAAACAAGGAACAATTTCAATCATATGCTTAAAAGTTACTAAATTACAGAACTCATTACAGAATTTCTATGGTATTAACAACAATAATTTTATCTATGATACTAATATACTTTGTTTGTTTGTTTTGTTTTTCACAATAAGCATTTTACTGCATAATAAAGAGTACCAAGAAAAAAAATTATACCATCAATTCAACTTACTCGCGAACTATTTTCAAATTAGGACGTTGTGGAATAGAGTACGAATATGTGTTCCCATTACTAGAAACAGAACTAAAACAATCGTAAAAACAGAAGAAATAAAAAAATAACCAATGAATTATTGCTTGATAAACAGAAATATCAAATAAGTAAAACAGCCGGTACCGTACATAGTTGTATAGTAAAAGATACTCCGAAAAAGACGTTTAAAGGAATTATAAATACTGAAACATGATACCAAAATATAACCGCAAATAAAAACACAATATAAACTAACAACAATGTACCAATAAACGTTTCAACAAATTCTATTTCAATACAATTAAACGAAAGCAGAAAACATATCAATCAAACAATCAGACACAGTAACATTAAGACTTAACTAAAAACACTACGATAATTATCATAATTTAATACATACCAATAAATGCATTGCATCAATGAAACTAATTCACTACTGTCAATCTGAGACACAGAGACATGCATTCCAAAACATAATCTGATATCCAAAACAATCGAGAAATTCGATTTTCTAATATTCTTAAATAACACCAATTGAAGTAAAACTAACAGAACTACCACAATAAATGACGAAGGTATCACTGACATGTTCATCAAACAAATCAATAAGGTCATGAGCAACAATAAACAATTCTCAATAGGATACAGGAGAAATCAGTTCACAAAACCGTGAATTTCAAGTCATACAATCACAAAACTAACATCCACAACAGATCCCACAAACTATATCATTTCTTGTTCAAAAGGAAACAATAAAATCCAAACCATATAAAGAGAACAGAATGCAAACACATTGCACACAAATAATAAATAGGTCGAAATTTAGTACTACAAATCTTCCGTGTTTATATGCACAGGATACCACTCACCTAGGTACTGGTAAATCACCCATTAAATTCCTTGAGTATGGAGAGGCGTTTCGTGGTTCGAATCCGTCTCGAATAGTTCTGTATTGAGAAATATTTAAAAACACAACAATATAAATCATTTGAGGAAATCATTGTGTCTAAATTCATTAAAAACGAATAACTGGTTTAAGTACGTGTTTATATTCGGCTATCGCGTCGATAATATTTTGTGTGTTTTCGTGAACTCAAAGTGGTTGTAGGAGTTTTTTGAAATACTCAATTAATCGAAACTATCATACTTTACTTAACACTTCAGCATAGTCACTTTTATAATGTCCTGTATTTGTATGTAGTACTGATTGTTCGATGGAAAATTTCAAATGTTGTGGACTCAGTATGAGTGACGCAGACAAATATCCAATACATGAACTTGACAGAAAAGTAGGTCAAAGGTGGCAAGGAATAACGGATAACAGTATGGCTTCTAACAAACATAAAGAGGTTCTTTGTGACCCAAATCCATTTAACCAAGCGTTAATCAATATTTGTAGTCCGCAAAAATAAGTTACAGACATGTGATGAGTAAGACCACAGATGCACATACATACGCTTATATAAAAACAGTGAGGTTGATATTGCTAATAAGCGACATGGTAGAAATTTGGTTAGAGAAGAATGAGTAGATTGATTTGTCAAGAGGCTAGAATAACCACTGTGATCTTGACATAGTACCAGCCTCTACATCATAAAAGATTTCTGTTGTGACATTATTCATCAGTTAGATGTATAATTTTCCAGTAAATCATCAGTGCTCTAATCTCTTAATTTTTTAAAAGTGTTTTTAACGCATAATATTTAATCATTAGTCATTATTTATTGTGTTTAGCACCTTATTCATTAACTGAAATGTTACGCTCAGTGACAATTAGCTGACTAAAATAAAACAACTGCAAATAATAAACTTAAAATAAATGATAATGGTTAAATTACAAACTGAAAAGCAAAACTACATACTAATAGAGTCCGATCGTATAAATCACGTATTATTAAAGAAAATAAGCAGAAGGGGTCAAATATTCTCAAACAAATATATTAGTCTATATTTTGTAATATAAACGATAGGAATTGAGAGTTTCACCTTAAATTTATTCTGAAATTTTTCAATCATTTTGTTTACAAACTTCTCTATTAAAACAGTTATTATTTGATGAAACCAACTAAACTGTGACCGCCTGGTAAGAATACAGATTTTGCAACTAACTTATTGACAAGTGAATGAATATGTATTTATGTATCTTGAAAATGACTAGTTTTATTATGATAAAACTATTTAAGCTTAATTTGTATTTTATAAAAGCACAAACTGTACCACCGACAAATAATTCGTTATTAAATGGCCAGAGAAAACGTGTCTTTGATCTCTTGATTCTGTAGTTTGTCTTGCAATACCATGATTTTACACAACAGCTTTGGATAACAGTATGACAACAACCTATATATGATTATGACGAATAATAATCATCTGCTCACTAGTAACTGACTTCAAGAGGCATATCCTGAAGTTCTAGTGGGAAGCCGTAACCAGTGGAGTTCAACCAGGTCTGTTGTGAGATATCAGCTCACTGAAGACAATGGTGTACGGTGGCACAATTTCATGGATTAGTTGAAGTTAGACATTAACACCATTGAATGCCAGCTCAGTGGTCTAACGGTTAAGCTCTCGTGCGCCGGACTGATAGGTTCTGGGTTCGAATCTCGCGGGGGGCGGGATCGTGGATACGCACTGCTGAGGAGTCCCATACTGGGACGAAACGGCCGTCCAGTGCTTCCAGGCTTTCTATGGTGATCTAGCTTCAATTGGCTCATGATTTCAACTATTGAAATGATAGACTCAAACTTTTGACATTATTCAACCATCTGATGAAACGTGAACGTCTCCAGGTCAGTAGTAAAATTATTCAAGTTATTCTCATTCAGATTTTGTGTATATTGTCTAAGTTTATTGACTTGAAAGGAAATGTGATTTTAAACGAATATAAACAAGTGCATCATGTAGTTATTGATAGACTTGGCATACGTAAATATTCATTGTGACCTATGTTTAGACACTAGAAGCTCGCCTGTAGTCTACTCTAGTCACTTTCTTTTGATTATACTAGGAAAATAGGTTAGGTAAATAATTTACAACAATCATATTTAAATTTAATCGCCAAATACTATATGAATCTCAATAACGAATAGAACATTCTCTGAAAAAAATGTAAATTTAAAAAGTTGTTTCAATCAAATGGAATATTTATTGAAAAGCAATTTTTATAAACCATTATTATTTGTGCAGACATTATATTACTGACCTAGGTTCTGACGCATTATTCATTAAATTATTTGAACGATTTAATTTCACAGGAATATAGTGAGGTTCATAAGTTTCCCGAGTGTGTCTGTAGTGAAATGAAACGAAAGGAACAAACCAAGATATAACGACATAAATTAACTAACTGTTATAATCACATAGATAATGTAAACAGTTGGATAGCAAAAAGAGGAACAAAAAAAGAGAACAAGAGCACTAGATTAATCATGACCACATTTTATAAGAAAAGTTTATATAAACCAAATTTTAAAAAAAAAATAACTAGAAAGGTAGCTACAAATAACAACATGTTATTAAACAATAAAAAAAGAACTTCAATCGATAAACCACATATAAGACATTCACTACAAGTCAAATGAGTAAGCTTTGGTGGTGTAATTCCTGAAAATGAAATGATATCAACATAGTAAGAGAATATAATAATAAACATACTTTGCAATTGCTGTAATTACTAGACAAACGATTTCTTAAAATAAGTAAAAACTGTGGTTTGTACCATTCAAGTGAGAAAATAGTTATTGATGTAGATGATGAGTTATTCCATCTTTTATAGCACATCAACAACTTAAACCGACATTCTCAGTTACGTGTTGATTTTACTCCCATTTTTTTATGAATCAGCAAACATCACAAATAGTAAAAACATATTAAATTGTTAATAAGAAGTTGTGGAGATCGTTGAGTTGCATTGAAATCATGAACCTATCAATGATAGACCATCATTGAAAACTTTAAAGAACCTAAAGGCCGTTTCATCCAAACAGGGGATGCTTCATCGATACACACCCACGAGCCTGGGTGGAGAAATCGATTACAGGATCTCTAGACTCACACACAACCGTTTAACCTCTGGGCCGATTAGTTGACATCCATCACATCCCCATTAGTGACTAGGTTCGACGTGAAATTTCCAGAGTTCTAGTGGAGAGTGGTGAGCCATGGAGTTGATGCGTCGGTTGTGAAACGGTGAGGTGTCTAGTACTATCTTAAGTTCATATTGGGTTGTCCTAACTGCCAACAGACCAATTTATTCATTCTTCTTGAGTTTCATTTTAATCTTGTAAATTATTCGCTTACAAACCATGACTACTTTTATATGAGCGTATGTGTGTATCCCTCACCCTATTCATCACAAGTATTTGGCGTTCCTTTATCTGGCTATAAATATTGAGTCAGGTTTAATGAAACCGAATTTGCACACTTGCCTTCTATGATCTGCTTCTACGCTTCGTTTCGCCGCTTGTTTATCTGAATCAACGAGTGTATGACAAATATTTGTATTCGAAATTCATTCTCGTATTTGACTTATTTTAGCCCGTTATTCACTAACGCAAAGTAAGTCGATAGTAAGATACGAGGGTTGACTGCATGTAGATTTTGGTAGGATCATCAAACGATTAAACGAAGTCCGCTATACGAACCACAAAGACAGTCTCCCACTGAAGACGGTGGAAAATGGCCGCGTACTATCGCATATCCATTGAAGCTAGACATAGAAACCGTTGGATGCCGTTTCAATGGTCCAGAAGTTAGACGTTCAAGCGCGAGCCTAAGAATCCTGTGTTCAGTTTTCGCATACAGGTTCGTGGATGTACAATGTTGAGGCTCCTCATACTAAGACAAGACGGCACTTCGGTTCTTTGAAGTTTTCAATGATGGTCTAACATTGATTGGTTCATGGTATTAACGAAATACAGTGATTATTACATAATCAATCATGCTCTATCTTATGAAAAAGAAAATCACACTAAATCAATACAAAATATATTATTATTTTTAATAAATTTCGGATCAAAGTAAAACCATTGCTATACTTAATAAGACACCATACTGACTATGAATCAAACATTAGACTAAACAATTGTCCGGTTACATTGAAAATGAAACTAATACTGGACAGAACTTACAGAGTGAAAAATCTGACCCCATCCGTTCATCGTTTTCTAACAACTTCTTATTCTTTCGAAGCGGATTAGATTTTCAAAACTCAGTAAATCCATGGTTTTAACAGTGGTGATAAGAAAATAATTTTAATATGCTTTTCACAAGTAATACGGTCATACCACTTCTCTAACTCAACAACAGCAAAAGCGATTAGAAGACTAGGAACAATGATTAACGGAAATATCGTCTGTAAACTATTATTACTCTTAAACTGGTAATTTATCAGATGAAGTAAATGCAGCTTTGAAGTTTGTATTCAAGCTTTATTTCAGCTTAAAATTCAATACAGTTCCCAATGTTTATTATGAAAGAAATAAAGAGCTGTTTATGATTACTTTGGCTAAACCGAATATGAGTTCAAAGGCTGGTGTTTATCTCAATGAATGGAGTTCAAGCGAACTTCGTTTTCCTAAGACAATCACTTTTAAAAGTAATCTGGGAGTTTTTCCCAGTTTTAGCATTTGTTTTAGCTGTCCAAGGTTATCTAATAAATCTGATAGTAACTATGTTGCTCATTTGTATAAGATGAATGGCCAATCCAGGAGGCTACATAATGTTTCAATATATAAAGTTCACTTCAACTGTAATATATTTATATCTAATGCAAACAAGGTTTATCAAATGCATAACAAGAATAATCATTATTTCATTACTATGTGAGAGGAAAACTCAAATAGATTATTAAGTTAAAACATGATGTTGAACTGGTGAAACGATGAAAAACACGAATATTGAAAAACATTTTGTTGTCAAATTAACTCATTAGACATTACATCTGAAAGAAGAATATAGTGTATCCATGGTACTTCAGAGACCTTTGACAGTTTAGAAATAATTACCTCAATATGTATCGCTTGTAAATAAATAATCAAATAGGAGTGGAATCAATGCATAAATGAGAGTATTGATAAAATTGTTAATGTGCTACGGAAGATGAAATAAAACACTCGACAGTGTTCCACTATCAACTTTAGAACAACAGTCTTCCCGTTCCGATTCTCTGTGAATTTAAGACTATTTCATCTATTTAAAAACAGATTTCACATAAATGACACAATCAGCAAATTAATATTACAATATTTCCTTATTTATGCAAACATTATACCACTCACTGAACGTCCGGCAAATCTCCCATTAAATTATTTGAACGACTGGCATATGGTGATAAGCGGCGCGGTTCATGTGTAGTATGAGTGCTTCTAAATTAAAAGTTATTTAAAATATGCAAATTTAAAATGAATTATTCGAGAAAGTTGTTGCAAGTTACTCGACTTGAAGTATAGGACTAAAAATAGTACGAATGAAGACATGTAGTCGACACAAAGAACAAGGGGTATCGAGAAACCTTTCAACACAATTTGACAAAAGACAGAAACATATCAATCAAACAATCAGACACAGTAACATTAAGACTTAACTAAAAACACTACGATAATTATCATAATTTAATACATACCAATAAATGCATTGCATCAATGAAACTAATTCACTACTGTCAATCTGAGACACAGAGACATGCATTCCAAAACATAATCTGATATCCAAAACAATCGAGAAATTCGATTTTCTAATATTCTTAAATAACACCAATTGAAGTAAAACTAACAGAACTACCACAATAAATGACGAAGGTATCACTGACATGTTCATCAAACAAATCAATAAGGTCATGAGCAACAATAAACAATTCTCAATAGGATACAGGAGAAATCAGTTCACAAAACCGTGAATTTCAAGTCATACAATCACAAAACTAACATCCACAACAGATCCCACAAACTATATCATTTCTTGTTCAAAAGGAAACAATAAAATCCAAACCATATAAAGAGAACAGAATGCAAACACATTGCACACAAATAATAAATAGGTCGAAATTTAGTACTACAAATCTTCCGTGTTTATATGCACAGGATACCACTCACCTAGGTACTGGTAAATCACCCATTAAATTCCTTGAGTATGGAGAGGCGTTTCGTGGTTCGAATCCGTCTCGAATAGTTCTGTATTGAGAAATATTTAAAAACACAACAATATAAATCATTTGAGGAAATCATTGTGTCTAAATTCATTAAAAACGAATAACTGGTTTAAGTACGTGTTTATATTCGGCTATCGCGTCGATAATATTTTGTGTGTTTTCGTGAACTCAAAGTGGTTGTAGGAGTTTTTTGAAATACTCAATTAATCGAAACTATCATACTTTACTTAACACTTCAGCATAGTCACTTTTATAATGTGCTAAGTTTTTATGTAGTTCTAATTGTTTGATTGAAAATTACTGACATACTGAAAAGTATGATGTTGGAGAGACATTATAGCACTCACCTTGTTGTTGGTAAATCACCCATTAAATTCTTTGCGTATGGAGAGGCGTTTCGTGGCTCAAATCCGTCTCGAATATTTCTACTTTTATAAGTAATTAAAAAATGGTTTCAAAATTAATCACATGGTGAATTTATTATATCTCAAGTAATTATGAGTTAACTGGTTTAATGTTCTTATGCAATGAAATATCATGCCTTTTTATCCTCAAATACCGTCCTTTTCCTAACAACGTGTATCAATATTGTTGTTCCAATTTTTAATTATTATTTTACTGGAGATCTATATGATGTTGAAGTTATGCCCAAATTTAGTGTGTGATGCGATACCTATATTTTAGGAAAACGTATTCTTATATCATGTATTTTCTTTCTCTCTTTTGTTCACTAAGAGAATAAACTACATATTATTTGATAGGACAAAGCCTTTGACATGTCAGCTAGTTGCGATACCAATTCTGTTTGGCCTTGTATCTGCCTATTTATGTTTTTACCCATTTTATTTTAGTCGAGTTCTTTTCACGTTCGTATGTAGAATGTGTTACTGATTGTAATGAAAACTACTACGAATACCTCAGGTAAACCAATATTTGTTAAATTTTAATCTTTTTCAGTCAGTACAATCACAATAACTTACTTACTGGTTAGTGTTTTTTAGAGAGTTAGTTAGTTTTCTACGGGTTGGGGTTGCTAACCCCACGCCCAACCCTCCTTTATCCGGGCTTGGGATCGGCAGCAGCCCCTTCTCCACAATAACATTTCCCATAATTCGTATTTCAACAAGACACTTGATGTTTTATTCTGATTTGTTATCTTTACTTTTAGTTTGATAACCTCTCTATGATGGAAGTCAGGCTTCATTACTATGCATTTAGGGTTGTTCTGTTGCTGTTTCCTCTTAGATTAATATCTTGCCTTATTCGTGAGTTTTACTGTTTTAGGATCGTTGTCTAACCGTTGTGTGTCAGTAGCAATATTGTCCTGTTCGTAATAACGTTGCATGTTAGGGAATCTATATCATTCTTAACCTGAATTACCATAGGCCTAACTGAGCTGATTTCAAGAAATAAAAAATGAGAAATAAATAAATATTGTAGGGAAACAATGAACGAACAGACAAATTTTTGCTAATCTGTTTCTAAAAATTCAATTCTGTTTGATAATTATCGAAACAAGAACTGATGGAGTGCTTTTACCTGTACGAATCGATCGGACGCGAGCGATCATAATCATTCCATTTTGAATACGACCTACAGTGGAATGACAAGAATAAAAAAATAACTGGTTGTTCAACTCGTTGTATTAGGGAATAATCACTTTCTTTATCATAAATGTAAAAAAATGATTATAAGCAGTATATATTACTGAATAACTAAAACGTTGAGGTCTTCAATCTTAATTGATACTATAATTTATGCCAATCTCGTAGGTCTACTTGCACGAAAATGAAAGAACGATCAAATGTGTTGTATAAGTAAACAAAATGTTTGACAAAAACTACCCGTTAAAGTGAATCCGAAATTCATTTCTTTAGTACCTATGGATGCTATTTGTAATTTGGAAAACGTTACCACAAACCTGTCGGTAAGATTAAAGAAACACAGATTAATCGCCAATCACGATTTATCTCTAGGCTTTTCTTACAATAACTATAATGGTAAGGGATATAAAGAAACAGTATTTCATCTGAAATGAATTTACCATTGATCTTTATTTGTGGAAAATAACAGGTTGGGAAAAACAGTGACTAAGTTAATAAAAGCAGTTTTTATAATTAAAATAACTTTCAAAGCGTACATATTATATTTAGTGAAAATAAAAAAGTATTTTATGTTGCTCTGTGTTAATAATGTTTATATTGCCAAAATAATTGCAAAAATAACTGAATAGATCACTAATTTCACCACGTTGATAACGTACAGAAGGAATAATTGTTAGGATGCTGTTAGTGAAGATAATTTATTACCTTGCTTTATTTGACATGTCGTTGTACATATTTGACGGTTTCATACGATCATACGCATCCTACAACATTAGATAATGGTAGAAATTCAATATCAATGTATGATAGTGTGTACTTTTTCACTTGTTCATTGAATTCATATTTCAGGATACATTTTAAATATAGCTGTCCCAAAGTACAGATAATCGGATATATACAGAAGTAGTATAAAAGGTATAAATGACTACAGATTATAATGAGTTGCATAATATGTTGATTTACTCAATTCACCGGTATTGTACGAATATATCCTGATCACTAATGAAACGCACTTATTCGGTCACTATTTATCTCAAATAAATATAAGATTTCTATGCAAACAACAAAGATAATATTGACTCTGAAACTGAACAGCTCAAAGAGATATTCAAGAGCACTTAGTGAGAGTATTTATTTATTTATTTAAAATACCAGTTTCCTAAGGTAACCCAAACAAAATCATTCATAAGAATATTTACTGTTCTAAAATGAATGTCGTCTATTTTCTCAATAGTCCAAGTTGTTGAATTTTTAATTACGATTACGATTCATTTTTTCTTTTATTTCATGAGCCTTGTTCTGTCATCTCCCAAACCGATTACTTCACATTGTTTAATAACTACAGATTCTGTATAAACTGGTGAATTAAATCTATGAATAAGAAAATTAAGTATTGGATATTTCAATATTACTGACTCTTGTGTTGTAAGAAATTGTTTGCCTACATGTATTAAATTTGGTTTGGATTCGACCCAGGACATTATCTTATAGTAATAATCTGTATTTCTATCAAATGCAATTCAGGATCCTTATAAATAAAATAACACAATACCTTAGTTTGTTAGTATCAAACCAGTAATTTTGGGGACTTTATCATATTAAAAGTATACATATCACTATTATTATGATAAGAATTGTTATTTTAATGACCATGAAAAAGAATCCCGTTTTCATCCAATTTTAAACGGGTGTGCAGAAGCATTTTAAATACTTATATGAAAATAATTCAACATGATGCCTGAAATATGTAGGCTTTATTTTGCAAAAGTGACATGAATCAACATAAAGCTGTAAACAAGTGAACATAGGTTTAAATTAAAATGGTGAAACCTTGATTTCCTAGTAAATTTATTTTATAGCATATATTGTGTTCAGTGGTAGTGTTTGACAAAAACGTTTTTTACTGATTAGAGAGTCGTAAATAAAATAAATATATTTTATAGCCTTACTTCATAAGTTGTATAGTATGGATATTAAATGAATTTATAGAAACATTAATCAGAGTACAAAATACCTTTGCCTCCAAAAAATTTATTTTTACAGCACAAATAATAGCTTACAAAAGTTATGTTGCAGTTTTGAATAATAACGGGTACTCACAAAAGTTTGTCTTCAAAAGGTATATCACCAATATTGTTGTGATTTATGATGCCTACTATACACAAACACTCTATAAATCATCCAAACTGTTATGGATTTTGATAATTACACGAAAGTTTAATACCATTTTGACCTCACAAATGTAAAATGATAGTCTCTATCCTACCGCTCCTTTCGTGTCATAATACTAGTCAAAGTCCAAATCTACCTCAATTTAAAAAACACGGCCTGCTTCAAAGTTATAATGACAACGTAATGTTTAATAGTCTCAGGGCAGAAAAGAAGGTAAAATGTTAACAGGAAAAAGCAAGCAAAACTGTAGTGCATAGACAACTAGCGAGTGCAATCGGAATGTATCTCGTTAAAATGAATTTACCATATAATTATTCATGTTTTGACCCTCAGTTGGCTGTCCTCTATAGAAACGTTGTCCATGTATTTGTTCTTTCATAACATTTTCTGGCACACCTCTGTAAAACACCTGCTGGATAAATTTCATTCAAATTTTAACGAATCAGTATCAATATCAAAGTTTTATCGTGATCAATTAGCCAATTTATTAGCTAATCATATGATCTAACCAGGAACAAAGTACTATCAGGAACTAATATTCAATCCTCTTAAGTGGCCTACCTGTATAGCTACTTAGAACATACTTCTAAATGTTTGGGCGTAACTTACAATGTATACATCTGAAGTGCGTGTTCAAATAATTAAGATGACGATTCGAGCAATATATATTGACTTAAGTACTGTAAGAGACTACATGCAAACAATGCAGTCCGTCGATTTTAATTCATTGTACAAGTTATAAGCAAGGTTTATAGGATCAGACGTCCAATCGGCCAAGCAATAAAGTCTACCGTGTTTGAATTCAGAAAAAGGTCATTATTCACATACCCTCTAAAACGCTTGCAAGACTGATTTTCTTTTTACTGCACGTTCGATAAAGTTATTGAGTAAAGCAAATCATTTTCTTAAATTTATGGGTACTGATTTTAAACCTATAGGCTGATGTAACAATGAGTTGTATGTAAACAAATAATTTAGCATCAAATAAGGTAGCTTAGATCATAATTCATATTGAATAAGCAATAGAATCCAGACTCTGGACATGTTTTGGTTTAAAATAAAATTATTATCTGTAAGTTTTATTCGCTTTGTTAGAGGGGGCAAAAATCTCACAAAACTTTTAAGCACTAACCACTAAGTCAGTATACAAGATCGAACAAGATACAATTCACTCCTTTATTTCTACGTTAGTCAAGAACACGATTAAATGCAACCACCACCAACAGACGTTTTCGGAAAAACAGTTCAAAAACGGTGTAATTAAACTTCTTTACTTCAAAAATCATGTCCAAATACATAATAGCGTACAAATATTCGTCATTTTATCCAATATAAAGATTTCTAATGTATCGTTTGTGTGCTCTGTTTTCTTCAACTACATAATACAAAAGACTATTGTCTTCAACTAGTCTGAGTGCCTTTTAGTTCTGTTTATACTGACATCGAAACCACCAGCACGATTATTACATCTGATTATTTAGCTTATCGAAGTAGGATAAAAAGCCTTCCATAAAATTCGTCTTTTACCTAATCCGAATGTAATCAGTGAGCGACTAAACGAAGATAGCAAACAACCAACGTCGTGCGTCAATATCTTTCTGAATTCTCACTGTCCTGTTTGGTCGAACAAAGCACAAGCGACGGCCTATCAGAATCCATCCAGAAATAATTTGTTCGGCACTTTCACTTCATACTATAATTACTTCAAAGAGAACACGGAAAGTAACAATGAAGACCTCGAAGACACGAAGGATAAGTCGTGCGGGTTCTTTATACTGACTAGGTGGGGTCAAATGATGGACTATGCTGCTTGCTCTTGGAGTAGGCTAGAAGAATACCAAGAGCGACCGAACCATGACGTGGCACTAGTTCTTGGAGTAGCTAAAAACTGGTCTGAGATACATGGATAGGTGTAGACTAACAGAATGAATTTCAAGTGACTATCACAACTCGTAGTTAAAAGCTTTGGGTGACATGGCTTAGAATCGCCTTCAGTGGAGCAGGTAGGTTTGTTATTTCTCTTTCCGTGAAGTTTGTGTTCTAAAATATCATGATACCTTTGAACCGATTTTTTGTCACCCAAGTTCTTCTTATAATCCTAGCATCTTTCTTACCTCTACTACTCCGGTATTTGTTTAGAAATAATTTTAATTAGCAGCGTTAGTGCAGTATTAGAACTTGAACCAATATATAGATATATGTCTATCAGGTTTTAAGTTACATATGACTAACTGAAACTAATCTATGGATTTTCAAACACAGGTCTATGTTTAAGACAGGTCACAGATTCTATAGATTGTCATTTTGGTATCATACAAGAACAGACAAAGTGGATTTAAAAATTAAGGTGATAACTAGACGAATAAATGAGTTAAGTGCTTAAAGCATCTACGTGAAGGTTAACCAAATCTCAAAAACATTCTGTAAACTCAAAGCGAATTCTGTTTCTGAATTACGTTTTTAACAAAGTCTGCGCCGTAACCGAAAATACGATAAATGGAAACAAAGTACATAAACTCCCAGTTCATCAGCTCAATATAAGCCCTAATTAAAGCTTCTGAGAATGTTGTGCAATTGTCAATGTTAATTCTTTAACAGGTACACAAACTGTGACACCTTACTATATTGCAGTTTCATGTTTTTATGAACAAAAAAGAGAACTGATTTAAATACCTAGGGTTTTCATAAGACGCACTAAATAAACACTCAATTATCTGACGAGTGACCTAAAACTGAGAGCAGTCACCTTTCTAGGTAGCAACACTTATGTTAAAAAACTGAATTATTCGTTTATAAGGATTGCAAAACTCTGAAATTAAATTGTCTTAAATCACTGCAAACTGCCTTAGAATCCTTCGTGTTTAGAAACTCATTCAAACTGACAAAAATGAGGAGTGAGTTGAGTTTACATTATACCGTTATTACAAGTTAAAAGTTTTATTTCATGAATATCAGATAAAAGCATCGATTACTTTGATAAACCCTAAAAACCAATGCAATGCAGATAATGTTTTCGTATGGACGAGTTACAATTAGCAGTATGTATTTTTATGAATGAAGCCATCTTAAATCCCAGAAGCCAAAATTTACTGTCATATACAATGGAAGATAAAGAGCTAAAGTTCTTGACTTTCAGTCATATCGTATACTAATAACTCGCTCCTCTCAATTTAATTTAGTCAACCATGTTCTGACACAGATAGACGTGACTATAAACCTGACGCATGAATCAAGATTCATATTATGAGCAAAATTCAAACTATTCATTTCTAAATCATGTGATGCTTAATTCCCTTATGATGGCTTTCCCAGAGAAGAGCACTAAGTGTTGAATAAATACCATGATGAATTTGAATAAAATTTCAGAATTATGGTGCTCAAATCTTTCTGAGCAAAGTAAAGGGACTTTGCATTTTATGATTTACATGTTCGTTGAACGACAAAAGTGTAAAAAATGTAGTATGCAATGTAATATGTAAATCTTTTCCTATAAAATAATCATGACTAAAACGTTTTGTCTGACTAGATAAACGGTTGTTCCCAGATTTAAAATGCTAGTGAGCACACAATAAACTGAAGCTTATCCAAATACATCTCTAAATCTGAGATAAAAAATGAAGTGCAGTCATAAGTATAAGCTTACTTTCATGCGATCATCAACAGGTTCCGAGTAATTGCGCAAGTTATTTTCTCCTTCTCTAATAAAAGAACTTCTAACGTTTTGTACCATATCATCAGTCCTGTAAGGAATCTTTTTTTCTTTACGACAGCGTGGCATACTGAGTTACCACACGTTACTCTCGGATACTTAAAATAGAGTTACAACATCACTTGAGCTCAAGGTCACATTTTGGTACACTCAAACACAACAATAGATAAACCCTATAATGTTGTACTAATGGTAACACTATATCAGATACGACATGACTGAAACAAAAGCCAAGATGATTTTTTTAGCCTGACGAGATGCTTATTGAAAAACAGTTTAACAGTAGTTCTACGACGATTATATTTGATTCATTAGGAAGGAAATTTTTTTGCAAAATCTCAGTGAGGGAACTTTCATTAAACTCAACGCTTCAGTTGGCAGTCTGGTGCGAACTTTCCGAGGAAATCTGATCTAACATTAGACTAGTGTAATAACTTCCCAATCAAACGCTATGTAATGGATGAACTTACCTTTCATCAGATTTACGTACCCATATCTACACAGTTATTTTAGCACACTTATTTCACATTTGATAATTCTGATGTTTTGTTGAATATGCATGGACCGGGGGCATTGAGAGTACTCCAATTCCAGTCTCGACTTATTGCAAATATAGTTTTTCCTAATTTTAACACTAACTAGTGGTTTCCAATTTTACCACTATTAGAAGAAAAGCTGACTACAGAGAGTGGGCATTACCAACGTAGGTTTTCTGTGTCAATGGTTGAAGGCTTACTCGAGTGTAACGTTAACGATGTGAAATTCCAGCTTACGTGAAAATACCACCACATCGTTAATTAAGTTGGATTACCCTTTCGTCATATCCACGTAATATGGCTGATGGCCATGCAACACGAATAACGTTATTACAGAAATATATCAATAAGAGTAGGTACAAGGAAAATAGTGAAACCACTTTACTACCGACCGGTTCATGGTGTGCAATTTTTTGATGAACGTCGGTTGACCCTGATGGGGATCAATTAAATATTGAATATTAAACGGCAGGAATGACGAATCTTTTAGTTAGGTCCGATGAAATTTCTCTGACCATAGAATAGTACAGACCGAAGATTGTACATGTTGTGTTACCTAACTTACTGCAAGATCCATTTTGAAGGTTTTCTGTGTAAAAATACTTCTGTGCGTACAGTTGTAATTTGTTCCTATTGTCTTCTTCAGTTGTACACATTGTTAGTTTTTTTATTACATTTAAGATGTTAGTATTTGTATTTTGTTATGGTTTTTATTTTTCTTACGCCTTCACTGAGTTTCCGTGTTTCTTCCTGAACTGCGTTTATGTTATTTTAGTTGGTTCTCAGTCTTGGAGGCTGCCACATTGATATGAGTTGTTTGCATTGACTCGAATTGTGCATTTTTGATTGTGAATTGAAACACTCTTCCAGAATTGGAAACACTCTGTGTTATAAAGTAAACAAATACTATCTTTCAAATGAACCTGTACGTGACCAGTCCAGAAAAGATAAAACAACATTTATTTGTTGCGAATGGTTTGCATACTATTCGAACAATTATTGGTTGAATAACTGGGCGAACCGTCATTGACCCAATCACCTTGTTTTGGTTTCAACTGGGCAGTAGCGCGTATTTAAACTACCTAGACGGTTATTCTTCAGTCCAAAACTTAGTTTGGATTCCAAGGTTACTCAGTATTTGAAAATCACAACGATCATCACATACCTGACTTCCGTCCCTACTTTAAAAGCTAATAGCTTATTGAAGAGAATTAAGATTTTAAGTAGGAGAGTTTGTATTTGCCCAATACCTCAGTAGGGAGGTAATTTAACCTATCCATATCAAGTATTTTATCCGCGACATAACTAAATATTTACTGCCAAACCTCTGAATAGGCTGGGAAAAAGTACTCCTAGTTAAAGTACCTCTGGTCCGAAAAGTGTTTTAAAAAGTTAATCATTGAGATCATTATAAGTAACTAATCTCGCTTAGGCGGATTTCTTTGAATGCCATTCTATGGAACGATTTTGTTTAAGAAAGACGATATCTAGTATTTGGTCAGCTTTATCTGATAGATGATTGTAACAATACTGCTCACTGAGTGCGTAGTCATCCGACGACGATGTCTGGCTGAGCGCCCTTACCTGGTAATGTCCAGTAAAATCAATAACGCGTGCAACAGTTTTGAAGAACTATGTAAATATTTATTTAAAGGGTACATGTTAAAAGCTACCATTCACATATCTGTTTCCGAAAATTGTTTATTATTAGTACATTTATCTTTGTTACCAAAATAACAGACCCAATCTCTAAATTGTAGATTTGTCATGATGTTACCAACTAATCCATAAGATCTTACGTGGAAGAAATACCATTACCTTTACTGTCTCGGCCTATCGTGACTGTCGGCAATATGATGTTCAGAGCCCCTGAAGGACACATTTGGGCTTGAAATGTAATAATATAAATTTAATTTGGATAGAGATGAGTTGCACAGAACAACCACGCCTATAAGTCTGAACCACATCATACAGATCAGCTACTCCCATGCTTTTTAGTTTTGATCTTTTCTATGTGTTACATGTTGAAAGTAAACCTCTTCAGTAATTAAATGCTCGTCTTTAAAGATCATGTGGTTAGGAGCCGATATCTGTACACATCGATCACTATCATTCTCAGTACCTTTGTGTAGGATGTGACATAATACATTGGAATGATTAGCAGATTTTTAAAAATGTTTCTCACTATACACCCTCGCAATCCTTTACACCCGATACTGAATTGTGACATGAATAATAGTTTCAGTTATACGCAGTTTCAAAAGAATCTTAGATTACGTGCTTAAGACTCAGGTCTATTTTCAAAAGAATGAAATGCTGTCCAGGACCTCTGAAAAAAATAAAATGACCAGAATCTAATTAACTTGCCCCGTCATACAACAAGATATGGCCAAATCTATTGCAACTTACTGGTTTCGGCAGTTACTCTGACAACAATCTAGGCTTTCTGCCTTGAGAAAGTAGTCACATAAGTGTATTTGAAATCGTCATAAGCCTTGGACTAACTGACAACTGCAAAACGTCTATTTTCAAAGTGATATGGGAACGACCCGACCGATTGCTAAATAAGAGGACTTTATCAGTTGACGTATATGTTCTTAGAGTAAAGGAGATCAACAATTTCTTGTTTTTTGTATCTTGCTTTGTTTTTGGCGTTCAGGAAAAACTGCACCAAAATATGGTCCATTTGAAGAGGAATCAATTCAAGAAAATAAAAAGGAATCGAAATCGATCTTAATGTTTCCATCTTATTTCCCTTATCACAGGTAGGTCAAAAAAGTTGGATTGAATATATGACCCAGCAATTCTCTTGGTTTTGCTTGTTTTTATTTTTCCCTGAATCTGTTAGCAACACTGTGATACGAGAACAGCTATTTAACGAATAAAGATCATCAGAAATAATGTCAACATATACGACGGATTCTTAGGGATAAATTTACAGATCGTTGCACTGCTTTGATAATTTAAACCAAGTTCTAATTTTATACTATTCCTTTTGCAAAATTGTTATCTACCGGCACAAAAAAGTAAAAAATCTGTGCCTGCCATGCCTTACGTTGTATAAACAAATTTGACTGACCACGGTTTTTGTTTTTACAGATTCGCGGGTCATCTACATTCATTCTCTAAGCAGATAGAAGAAAACTAGTGAAATAAGTCTATATGTATTTATAGTTGGGTGAAAATCCTACAGAAATGCACTTTATATGGAAGTATTTCTTTGTTTCTTTTTGTAAGTACCGTTTCTCTTATTGTCCTCTGTATTCGCGTACTTTAAATCAGACTTTTGTTTGTTTTCATGTTACTATAGTCTCTCCAGATTTCCGTGGTTTCCTTAGTACAGTTCCAATTTTCATGCGTGAACTGATCGCTCATGTACAATTTTCTGAGACTGAATCAAGTTCATTGTATGTTAGAAATACTCATTATATTATTATTCATGCATTTCTTCGATATTTTTTAGTTTAGAGTTGACTGTCAACTTTTTAGGGACAAACTAAACTAAACTGTCTATTTTCGGGTAGCATCCTTTTTATTCATTAATAGCAATTACTTTATTATTGTAGCAAGTTGGTTTGATGGAGTGTTATGATAAATTTCTCCTGTAACTGATGAAAACGTACTGTTCTTGATTTGCCTTATTTCGTACTTGCATACCACTTTTATACATTTTTATGTTTTTAACTACGTTATTTCAAAAACGTTGTTGATCATAATCGTCTCTGTCTTCCATTTGGACTCGGGGTGGTGTCACTGAAAATGCATACAGCATAGACATTTTGAAATTTCTCGAATTCTGAACTTTGTGGCTACCTTTACATCCTAAAAGTAATAATGTAAATAGTAGAGCAAATACTCCTGTGCGTACAGCTTTCATACTGTCTATTATTTTGTTAATTAGGGTCAAATGTAAGCGTTAGCCAATATCACTTTATCACAGCCAGATGAAGAAAGCCATATAGAAACAACAATCGATCGACAGTTCTAGTACCCCAACCTTTTGGATAACACCTGTCGTTGTTGAAGTATTCCCGTTCAAATACAGAATGGAACACATGTAGTCAACTTTTTAACTGCCAAACCAGAATTAGTACACGAACAATGACGCAGGAATCGGCTTATTCAACAGCAACGGGAAAATCATTCATAGTTACAACAATATTGGCGACAATGTCATCTAAACCTGTCTAGATAATGTAGATCATCAACGCAGATGATCTATGTCGAATGATTGGAGGTCTACCCGAGTTAGACGGGATTGGTGTGACGAATCAACTAACGTTGAAGTCACGCCTCCTGGTGGGCAACTCACACGAACCACCCCACTGATGTATCAAAGTACCACAACTACTTTGAAGACTGTACAACACAGAGGATATTCAGTGATCCAACTGCCGGATGATTTGGCTAGGGCTCAGTGACATTTCACTGACCCTACAATAATAATAATTAGATCACGTACCAACCATACCTTTATTAGAAAAATTCGCTGACTCTGAACCACTATCACCGGTTACAAAACCCAGACACAACGCAATTCACAAACAGATTCCTAAAATGTAAACTCTGGCACCAGAAAACAAAATTTTAGTGAGAT